TATTTGTTTTATTAAATGGGTAGAAACCATGTAAAATAGACTATCTAGAAATGCTATGAAAACTTAAGAAAATAGTGTATCTGAGGATACTGATCTGACATGATAACCTGGAGCTCAGCAGCTGTGCTAAAGAACAATCTAAATCACTCACATTTTCCTTTTTTTTTTTTTTTTAAGAAAGGTTTGTCTTTAGTACATATAGGGCGCGTGTGCTCACCAGAGAGACAGAGAGAGACAGAGAGAGACAGAGAGACTAAAAGCGAGAAATCACCCCCCAGGGGGTATGGCCATGCTGCAATCCTTTCTCCTCCATTCTTTTCTCGGGATCTTGGGCATGCACGCACACGTGCCCAGCATGAGTCTAAGCCACCGGGGCCAGGACTCGAACTGAAGTCAACTACATGGGAGTTCAGTGATATAGCCATTACACTAACTGCTGGTACCTCACATTCTCTTTATAACCAAAAAAGAAACTAACTAACCATGGATCTGTTTTTATTGTTTTTTTGTTTGTTTGTTTGTTTTTTTAGATAAGACCTCCCTGTACTGCCATCCTTCTGTCTCAGTCTCACAAATACCTAGGACTACAAACATATATCACTATGCCTGGTTTTTAGAGTAGATTAAATTTTAGATAATTAAATTGACCTCTACTGCAGGGACTTGTAAAGTTGAAGATGATTTCACATAGCCAGTTGTTTACCATAATACTTAAAAGTTGACAATTGTTAAATGTGTTAGGAAACCTTCCTTATATCAGGGGTAGTAGTAGTGTTGTAGAAAAAACAGACACAGAGAGATGCAAACAGCACTCCAGAGAGAAAAGGGAGAACCCTTTATCTCTTTATATACTAGTGGGCATGGAGAAGTTAACACTCTGAGTCTCTGACCCTGGCTGAGAGTTGAGCACAATCTTTTATGGGTGAATTGGGGAGAGGCAGTTTCAGCATGCTTTGAGTGTCCTACCAGGATAGAGGCTCAGTGTTTGCACTAATGCAGAGCTGGCAGAGAAGCAGGTTTTCATCCTGTCCAAGGCCACCAGCCACTCAATAGTTCAAGAGGGACAGCTTGCTTGTGGGTAAACAGAAAGCCCAGGCATCTATCAGTCCTGGGTTGTTTCAAGGTTATTTACAAGAACCGGGTTGCTCCACATCAGTAGTGTAGTGTGTGGTACCATGGTATTTTCTTACTTTGGCCTGAAGATGAAGGAAATGATCAATGGTTTATTTCACCTAAAATTTCTAGTCTGTTGTGATATTCTAGTTCAACTATTATTCTCCAGGATGTTGTAGTCCCAAAGCCTTGTGATTTAAATATCCTGTTTCTGTTTAAATAGTCTATACCATCACAATTAGTTAGTCCTGCCATCTTGAGAAGGAATATTGATATATAGCTCTTGGGGTAAATTTTAATTTTTTTTTTTTACTTTCAAATATCCAGTTCTTTTCTGCAAATGCTCCACATACTTTTTATGAACTTGAATCTATTATTTAAAGTGGTAATTTTATCACTTCTTCCTTAATAAACACTAACTATAAGCTAAATGTATTATTTCAGATGAAACTTACAGTGAGAGTGGGTATGTCACTGAGTTGTTATTTAAAACATATCTATGATTTTCAATGACCTTCTTGAGTCTCTAATGTTTTAAATCCTGAGGAAGACCTTCATGGAGTCTCTCACAAAATGCCACTGGGTGACTTGTTTCTGAAGCACAGAAAATGTCTCTAGTGAGCACCAAGATCTTATTGTTCAGCAGACAGGCAGGTGGGAGCAGTTTGGGTAGGTCGATTGCTTTTCCTATGACAATTACTTTCCTTTTCCCACAGTCTGAAGCAACTGAACATTTAAGAAAGACATTTGACTCTTCTGAGATGTATTAGGGCAGCGTGGTTGTTTATCTATTGGCACTAAACCAGACCTCATTCTTCTGTTGTTCCTTCTAACTTTTTAAAAATAGCTAAGGATGCATACAATAAAATGCATGCACATTTGTATATTATGTTTATAAACAAAAACTTGTATAGAAGAGCCCACGTGGTCAACAATGATCAGAACTTCTGGAGTTCTATACTGGAGCACGCCCATCCCTCAGTGTGCTGAGGAATCACTGTCCACTTCAACTACTCTTGTTTGTTAAAACTATTAATTGCATTTGCTACTCTGCCTGCGTCAGTGGTCATTACTCATTAACTTCTCTGCTCAAACCAGTATGTCAACTTAAGGTTTTACTATGACAGTAAACGACTCCACTGAATATATGCAACAGATCATAAAGATAAAACCAGGTTGAGTTACCTAGTACCCACAGCAATTCCTTAGCAGGGTGAAGAGTAGAGGGGAAAAAAGGGAAAAAGGTCTTTGAGGAAGGAAGATTTGGGAAGCACAGCAGAAGCACACATTAGGAGTACTTTGCTTTTGATAATTTTTTGACAGTTGTTGTGGTCCTCTGATCTCTAACTGCTTGCTGACTTAAGGATGTAAAATTGAAAACTAAGGGGTCTTCCTTTATAACTTCTCTCCTTATTATAATACCCTGAATTTTAGCCAAACTAATCTCATTATGGGAATAATGGAGGCTGCAGTGAGTGGATAAAATACAAAGCAATTTATTAGAACATTCTTAGTGAAATGAAAACATGTTAGTGAAGGCCTTGGGTGGAGTAAGAGGGAGCAGGGACTGTCCTGATTGGCCTTTGGCAACAAAAAAAGAGTAGAAACAGAGTAGGTATAGAGCCTGACATTTTGATGAGAGAATGCTGAGCACCAACTCTGAAAATGGTGAGGGTAACAAACCAAGCAGAGTAGACAAAAATAAACTTAGGCTTCTTCACCATTTTAAATGGGGTTACCCTACATGGTGAGAGGAAAAACAGAGGGAAAAGCAACTGGGAATGCTAGGATATTCATTTAATTGGAGCAATATTAGAAAGGTCATTTAAAATATAAGCAATCTTCTCATTAAATTTATATCAACTCATTGTTTCACTGCATGAATAAGGATCCATATATAATTCCAAATATTATATCCAAATAAGCAAGACCAGAATTAACACCCAGGGGTGGGTAGTGCAATAAAGCAAGCTCATAGCCAAGAAAGCAAAATAGTCACCAAGTTCCATGCCTAAAATTGCTCTTGTCTATGGTAAGTTTTGATTAGTGACTATAGTAAGCTCCCCTCCAGATGTTTTCAAGATTTTACCATGACTTCAAAAAACAGGTTTTGGTAATCTTAAGCTTTCACTGAAGGTTTAGTACTGCAGCTTTTTTTTGGAGAGGTTTTTGCTATAGGTCACGTGCGCTCTCCAGAAAGACAGGGAAGACAGAGAGACAGAAAGCAAGAAATCAGCCCCCAGGGGGGACGGCTGCATCCTCCATTCTCCTCTTGGGATCTTGGGTGCCCATGCACACACGCCCGGTGTGAGTTTAAACCACCGGGTCTGGGACTCAAACCATGGTTAACTACATGGGAGTCCAGCGACATAGACATTATACCAACTGCTGGTCCCAGTACTGCAGCTTTGAGGTGAAGGCTATTCTCATGAGATGAGAAGAGATTAGCAAATGTCATTAGTTCATCCAAGTCACAGGATTTTAGTTACTTTTTCTTTTCTTTTAGACTGAAGATATACATGGAGAGAAAAACACCCTTCCAGATAAACTCATAGAAGAGATAGATAATCTAGTGGTTAAGACTAAGGAAACATCTCTCCGGCTCGTTACATGTAAATTCCAGCTCAATGACTTACTGGCTAAATAAGCTTGTTTCAAAGAAGTCACTTGACTAAATTGCTCCAAAAATTCCCATCGGAGGTTTATAGCTACCACTGGGGAATAAGATATCCTCTAGTATTAAATCATATTGTTCAAAATAAAATACGGTTTGGATTGAATGATGGGGCAATGAAGATCAACTGTCCACTAACATCTGAGTCTTTCTTAAGCTCACAACTAGGTTACCTTTTTCAGACTTGTTGGTAATTAGGTGTATCATGAGATGAAGTCTTATTCTGAAATGTGAGGAGAAGTAAGGTTTACGGTTACTGAGTTGGGGTTGCGGGCGTGTTTAAAAGAGTAGCTATTCCCCCACCAATTTTCTCTTTTTGCTAGAGAAGAGGTCCACCCATTTCAGAGTAATCTTGGGAAGCCTGAAGATGACAGAGCTCCTTCCAGCCAGATTCGCCAAATGACTACATATGGAAGAGATTCCCTATGACAACAACCTTGCTCTGGGCTGATATATAAGTAAGGAATGACCTTCTGCCTTATGACATGTTTGGGTTTAATAATCTAACATATTTCAACTACTATCTATACCATACTTAAAAATGATACACTCTGGGACCAGCAATTGGCGTAATGGCTGTGTTGCTGAACTCCCACATAGTCGACTGCAGTTCGAATCTCAGACCCGGTGGCTTAAACTCATGCCGGGCATGTGTGTGTATGTGCCCAAGATCCCAAGAGGAGAATGGAGGAGACGGGATTGCAGTGTGGCCATTCTCCCTGGTGGGTGATATTTTTTGCTTTCTGTTCCTCTGTCTCTCTGTGTTTCTGGCGAGTGCACACGACCTATAGCAAAAACCTCTCCAAAAAAAGAAAAAGAAAAAAAAAGATACACTCATACAAAAATCACATAAGAGCAGAGATAATTTTCCTTTAGCATTTTTTTACCACATGCATAATTGCTTAGGAATCTCATGACAACCTTTGAAAAACAGTAATTTTATATATATATATATATATATATACACACACACACATATATATGTATATGTATATAATTTTTAAAAATAGTATTATAATTTTTACAGGATAATAGAAATAAATACTCATATAATTCATGTTTTTGCTGTCATATAATAAAAAATTTCAGACTATAAAAAAGAAACTGAGTTTGAATTTCAAATGTGAATTGATGAATATACTGTGAAGAGTTATTTTCATGATTCAAATTGCTAATATGAAAATGCTAATATTAAGCTAATAATTGCTCTTACCTGCTAAAGATGACATATTAATAATGATGCCACCTTCTCCTCCATTTTGCTTACTCATGTAATCCAAGCCAAGATAGGTTCCACTGATAACAGAAACCTAATCCAGAGGCATAAATGGGAAAAGCAACATTGCCGTTATTCTTAATCACAGAGTCACACGTCGATGTTTTTGTTACTATTCCAGACACCTAGGGATTATTTCTACAAATATAATCAATGAAAGGCTTTGGAAGCGCTTTCTAAAATGCGTTAATCTAGTCATTGACCCTGGATTCTCTTTTGTTTGCTTAACAATTGTGGAGCTTAGCATTTCTCTGCAAATCATCACTTCACTCTGTTGCCCAATATGAAATTATACGCTACAGGTTGTATTCCAATAGTCTTTTGTCACTCTCATTCAATCCTCAGCATGTCCAAGAATTCTAAATAATCTTTTGGTTTTCTAAATATTTGATGCAAAATTTGTTTACTCTTCTTAGCACATGGCTTGCATGTCTAAATATTCCACATTCATCTGCTCTCTTGGATCATGATTATCTACACAGTTTTCATTTTCTCCTTTTTTCTCTCTAGTAAGAATTCTATTTTGCTTTCATGTCTACTTTTTCTCTATGTAATACAGAGGAAGATGACTTGATCAATCTAATTCTATCATTTTCTTTGCCAGTAACTGATTTAGGAGCTGGCTTGTGACCTAGCTCTAGAAGTGAGACTGGAGGGGCAATCTACTGGAGGTAGGGGGCTGGAAACAGGATGCAATTTAGCAATGTTTGATGCACTTAACAAAACAGGAAGTTACAGTACCCTCTTTACATGACTTTGTATGGATTTGCTGACTGGAACAAGTGCCATAGTGCTAGCATCTTGAAGATGAAACTAACATAAATATGGATGACGGGTTGGGACAAAGAAATGTGGTATTATCTGTTGAAGATATTTTATAGTTTTATCAACTGTATTAGGCAGAGATGTTCACCTGTTGAAATATTCATTTTGTAAGCTAAATAATGTGATTGAATGTAGAAAAAAATGAAATAAAAAAATGTGAAAAAAAAAGTATGGTTGATTGGTGAGAGGAAATGACACTGGGAACTGATGACATCACTGATCTGCAACATCAAGCAATCCTTAATTGTGGTGTGAAAGAACCCAACTGTTATATCCTGTTTGTGGAGGAGATTCTGTCACTTGAGCATATGGTCTTTATTAACTCTACCATATAGTTGTATTCAATACTGCTAACAGATATCCTTTTGACAGTTTACTGCTTTGCTACTTATCTCTATGGGTAGGCGCTATTCCTGACTTTATTCTAACATTTAAGAATTCACCACTACCGAAAACAACCTGAGAGATAAAACTGATATTTAAAAATTTACTTTCCTTTTAGATTAAAAACTCTTCTCCTTTCCAGCTCAGGATCTAAAAACTTAAAATTCTCTTTTGGCAGCTTAATTCCTACTGTTTTTCATGCTTTGCAATACTACAAAGAAGATGACACAATAGGTGATGAATCTGAAACTGAGAGCATATATCAGTATTTATCTTTTTATCTTAAAATGTCCTTTTGGAGTTTTGCCTTTATATTTCTTTCTTTCTTTTTAATTGTTTGTTAATCTTTAATTGCCAGAGAGTAAATGTGCTTACCAGAGAGAAACAAAGAGATGGAGAAAGCATCTCCTCAAAGGGGTATGGTAATGCCACAATCCCTTCTCCATTTCTCCATACTGTTGGAATATGAACACACATGCATATGTGCCCAGTATGTCTCTCAAGCTTCTGGGGTTGTGATTTGAACTGTGGTTAGCCGTGGGATCTGGTTCCTTTCACCATTAGGCTATGGACCTGGCCTGAAGTATTCTTGACAAGCATTCAGAGTTGCCTCTCTTACCTAATAGCATTGAATAATTCTGGAACAAAACAGTGAACTGAAGATTCCACTCACTTAAGCCATGTATCAGTTTGGTATTAAGAAGGCTTAGAGCGAATGAGTAAAACCTCCCCATGATTCCTTTGAAAAAGGAAAAATGAAACATGAATTGTTTATATAAGAAGGAAAAATGTAGATGTCTGAAATTACTGAAGTCAGTTAGATTCTGGTAGTTTCTGCCCAAGTCTCCAGCATGTCTGAACAGAATTTTGGTTTATGCTTATTGGCACTCTGCTGTTATTCTCAGGTATTTACAGTTTTGCTGACATGCTGCATTTGTGTTTTCAACATCTCTAATATGTAGCCAGAAAGAAAATTTGGAGATGTTCAGGCTTTCATTTTAGTGTTTTTGAAAAGTGACGTTTATTTCTAGATCTTTAGAGGAAGAAGGCAAGGGATTATTTTTCTCATCTATTATAAGGTTAAGAAGTGAGTAACTTTTCAAACAAAAGGGCTCACAGGGAAAATCTATAAGAGTCACCTCACCTACAAGACAATGGCTAATGATTTGGCTAGGCTTAAATGATATTCCTTGCCTCTTCTCCTCTTTATCCCAGATCATAACTACATTATAGGAACTGTTAAAAAAACCCACAGAATGAAATGTTTTCTGTTAATAGTCTAAATTGTTTTTGTTTAAACAATGTTTATATGTCTTATAGATTGGGCTATTATAATATCAAGCATTTAGGAAAAAAATTACAGACATTTCTAGATACAAATACTGAAATCTATATATTATGATAGCCCATTATGTGAAAGTGGTTAAGAGTTCACACTTGTCCTGCATAGAAAATTCTAATTTAGCATAGTCAGAAAATTTTTTAAAAATCAGTTATTAACAAAATAATCTGATTAATGCACATCTACTCAATATTTTTGGTTCTAAAGATACAATGTTCATATGTAGTACTTAAATTATAATTGTGTATATTCCAAATCTTAAATTATTTTTTCACAAATTAAAGCATTCTATAACTTAAGGTCACTCTCATGAATTCTTCTACATTGGAATAGGTCCATAGTAATAAAGATAAAAGGACAAATGGTAATAGCCTACCTCACTTTAACTCTTCTTATCAGACATAATGTCATTCTACAACACACACATACACACACACATAAACATTATTACTGAATTTCTAACCTGTTACTTATTAATTTCCCCTCTCTCATCTGTATCCACTCTTTAGTTCCTCTTAGTTTATTTATGGTGTTTGCACTACACAGTAATTTTTGTAAAAATCTGGCATATAAAGTATTCTACTTGACTTTTTAAGTTCCTTATATTTTCTCCATTTCAGTTGCCAAGGGATACTAATATAGCTGACTATTTCTTCCAAAATTCCTTTCTATTCTCTATTTTTAATGTTCAAAAATATTCAATTTTTACTTGTCTTTAGGGATAAATATTATTGTCTTCTCCCTTACTGGAACTACTCACAATTTTACACATTCTGTCTTATGATACATAGTTCAACTGGATCTTTCAATATTAAGGAGTAGCAATGGCAGACAATAGTTACTAATTTCATTTGTAATCAGCATCCTTCAGAGGGGAGAAAAGGGAGCACATTTAACAGTAATGTCCTATTCATTTTCTCTTCTCTTCATTAAAGGTAAAATAAGACAGAAGAATCCACCTCATACAAACGAGATAGTGAAAAAAAACTAAGTTTTGGTACTCCATAGGAAAAAATGTAATTATTGAATAAATAAAATGTAGTGGCACTGAATGTGCTGAATTCTTATCATAAATTATGGTTTATTTAAGTTTAACAATCTTTACAGGACTGTTATGAGAAGCTAAATTTTCTCATATTCACAAACAGGACAATTGAAGGTCAGAAAAATAAAATGACAGTTCACAAATTATAGATTCAGGACTGAATTCTAATTTTGAATAATTATGAATGCATACCTTTTCTAGCACAAATCTTTAGACAGATATGTGTGTATTTCAGAAAAGGAAAAGAACCTGCTGATCTATTTTGTTTCACTTTTATTTGAATATGCCAAGGGATTTAATCTCTACTGGCTATATGTGTAAATTAAATTATAAATCCCACTTCAATGAGAATGAATTATTTAGGTTTATTAAAGCTTCAGAAAGTTAAAGGAAGAGCATTACATAATTACCTTATCAATACCCAAAGTTACGTCTAACTGTGCCCAATTGCCAGAGTCACCTTTGATAGTATTACAAAGACCCTTTCTTTATTAACATTCCGTGAGCTCTGAGCAGCTCTAAGTAATATTGTGGCTCTTGACTTCAGACTAAGGAGGAATCATAGAATGCCTCAAGGTAAACAAAAGACTGGGAAGAAGTTTGTGTGGAAAGGGGGGAGATCAGCAGCACAAAGAATAAGGAAGGGGTAAGTTTGGTAAAGAGTAAAAGTGGAAGGACGGATGTCACCATCTGGCAGCACTGATACATTAGGAAATGATCTAAGCATTGTTCTAAGACACTGAAAGGAACACTCGTGCATGCAAAATATACATGATGGCAGTTTACCCAATAAATGTTAATTAACATCTACTCTGGAAGACCAAAACAATAGTTTTCTGCATTGAAAGAACTTGTTCATTTGCAAAAATTATTCACATATACACGTTATTCTATGAAAGTTGAAAAACTAGTAAGCTCTATGGGAATAGCATAAATATGTAGTCTATAATTTCAGAAGTCAACAAAAGTGGTGAAATCTTTTGACTGAGTGGTTACTTTCTGACATAGATAATAACCTGAAAAAACATGCAAAAGAACAAACATGGAATTGTATTAGACCCAAAGAGGTAAATTACATTCAGGGCAAAGTCTAACAAATAAAAAGATATAAACCATGTGCAAATATTTGCATTTCACTAAAAATGATAATCAAGTTAGAAGGACAATGATTGGTCAGGCTCTAATCTACGCTTGCATTGGGTGTAGGTAGGAAGGCAAGTAAACATTTTTAAGTTATACAGGGTTAAAGAATGTTGGGAACCAGCAGTTGGCATAATGGCTATGTTGCTGGACTCCCACGTAGTCGACTGCGGTTCATGTCCTTGACCCGGTGGCTTAAAACTCACGCCGGGCATGTGTGCATACATGCCCAAGATCCCAAGAGGAGAATGAAGGAGAAGGGATTGCAGCGTGACCATCCCCCATGGGGGGTGATTTATCGCTTTCTGTCTCTATGTCTCTCTCTGTCTGTCTGGCGAGTGCACACGCCCTATAGCAAAAATCTCTCCAAAAAAAAAAAAAAAGAATGTTAATTTAGTTCTCTCTCTGGAAAACTAAATGTCATTAATCCTTGAAGTTAAACTAAAAATTGATATCAACAGAGTCCCAGGCAAGATAAAGGCTGGCTAAATTCCAATGGGGAAGAATCCAGAAGAGTTAGTTGTTAACCGAAGGAGTCACAATAAAATTCCCCTAGTCTTCCAGAATTTCCTATTTGCAGATGATGTAGGTACTTTTCAACTTGGAGCAGTTGCTATTAATACAGATTGCATTAAAAAAAATGCTTTCTCAGCTGGATGAAGACTGATAATTTGAATCCTGTGCCTATGTGATAACTCACCATTTTCATGTTTCTTTATATTAATTTTGACCATTGCACACTGCTTCTGTCAACTGATTTCTCAGAGAAAAGCTATAGCAAGTATCTGCTATGAACACACCTAATATAGGAACTTGTTACCCAGTGACCGTTATCTATAAAAATATGTACGATATTACTGATTTTAATAGTTTTATTAAAAATATTAGTAATGTTAAATGGACATAGCTACTGTACAATTTGTGCCTTTTTAATTGGACAACTTGAGTCAAAAAATTGTTGCTTTATGTAGTTTAGGAAAGTGGTATAAATCCATGAAAACATGTTCTTGGGACCAGCAGTTAGCGTAATGGCCATATCACTGGACTCCCATGTAGTCGACTGTGGTTCGAGTCCTTAACCCAGTGGCTTAAATTCACACTGGGTGCATGTGCATGCGTGTCCAAGATCCCGAGAGGAAAATGGAGGAGAAGGGATTATGGCATGGCCATCCCCCCGGGAGATGATTTCTCACTTTCTGTCTCTCTGTCTCTGTCTTTTCTGGTGAGCACAAGTGCTCTATAGTAAAAACCTCTCCAAAAAATAAAAAAAATTAGGACCAGCAGTTAGCATAATGGCTATGTTGCTGGATTCCCATGTAGTCGACCACGGTTTGAGTCCCGGACTCCGTGGCTTAAACTCATGCCGGGCATGTCTGTGTGCGTGCCCAAGATCCTGAGAGTAGAACGGAGGAGAAGGGATTGTGGTGTGGCCATCCCCCTCTGGGGGGTGATTTCTTGCTTTCTATCTCTCTGTCTCTCTGTGTCTTTCTGGCCAGCACACATGCCCTATAGCAAAAACCTCTCCAAAAAAATAATAATTAAAAAATTTAAAACATGTTCTTAAAAATTCCTACAGTTCCTGGAACCAGAAGAAGGCATAATGGTTATGTCACTGGACTCCCATATAGCTGAGATCTGCACTCAATGGTTTAAAACTCACACCAGGAGCATGTTCATGTATGCCCAAACTCCAGAGAGGAGAATGGAGGAAAAGGGATTGTGGCATGGCCATCCTCCATGGGAGGTAATTTATCACTCTCTCTCTATCTCTTCAGCAAGCACACACTACCTATCACAAAAATATCTTTCACAAAACAAAACAAAACCAAAGTTTCTGCAGTTTTCAATTGGCTGTATATTTATTTATTTTTTGTTTTATATGGCAAGCAAAGGATGTAATGAAGTATGATTCTTAATAAGTCTGGAGTAGACACTGAAGATGAAATAAAAAATATCTGATGTTTTTACCGGCAAAAAAATCAAAGTTATCTAATGAATTAAGAAATTAAAAAAAAAGAAAACAAACCAAAGCATGGTAAATATTAAAATATTAACTAGAAGAGTAAAAATAAATATTAATGGCTTAAATTTACAATAAAAAGAACCCTTTAAAATAAAAAGTGCATGTTCTCTGATGTAATTTTAAAAATAAGATTTCACAATAAGGCATCAGCAAGTGACAAATTTAATATAAAAGATTATTTTCATTTTCAAAATAAAGAAATGAAAAAAGATATAGCTTTTTCATTTTGATAAATGTAAATTTTAAAACATGATAGGGTACCAGTCTTATATCAAGAAATTTATAACAGATTAAAACACCCACAGGCACCAAACAAGGCTATACTTAAAAAAATAAAAGATTAATAAATTATCATTACTAGGAATGTATGATCTGAATATTACAGATTCATAATATATAGAGTCCAAATCTGCAGAATTACAGAAAGAGACAGGCAAACTGATATTTGTCATTTAAGATATGTATACCTTCTGTTCAGAAATTGGCAGACCAAGGAGACAATGGTAAGCCAAAATATAATTGACACCCAAACCAAATATCAACATTATAAGAAAAAATTATAAGCAAATATGACATATAAGTACAGAGAGACAGATACCAAATAAAGTATTAAATAAGATTTATTAAATATGCATATACCATAATAAAGTAAGATTTAGCCAAGAAATGTACAGTCAGAAAATATTTCATTTATTTCACTATATTCCTAGCCTAAAGTAGAAGAAAATCATAGGATTATCTTTTTTTTTTTTTTTTTGGAGATATTTTTGCTATAGGGTGCGTGCATTCACCAGAGAGACAGAGAGAGATAGAAAGACAGAATGTGAGAAATCACCCCCCAGAGGGTATGGCCATGACGCAATTCCTTCTCCTCCATTTTCCTCTCAGGATCTTGGGCACAATGTGAGTTTAAGCCACTAGGTCCAGGACTCGAACCACAATCGACTACATGGGAGTCCAGGGACATAGCCATTACGCCCACTGCTGGTCCCTTTTTTATTCTTTTTTTTTTAAAGAGGTTTTTGCTGTAGGGTGTGCATGCTCACCGAAGAGACAGAGAGAGACACAGAGACAGAAAGTGAAAAATCACCACCCAGGAGGGATTTGCCATGCTGCAATCACTTCTCCTCCAGTCCCTTCTCGGGAGTTTGACCACACATGAAAATGTGCTCAGTGTGAGGTTTATGCTGCCGGGTCTGGGTATTGAACTGCAGTCAACTACATGGGAGTCCAGCAATGTAAACATTATACCATCTGCTGGTCCCTTATAGGATTACCTTAATCAGAAAAAAGCAGTAGTCAGTTCTCTCCAAATATATATATGCAATCAGTATTTCAGAAAGCTTTTAAGAGTGAAACATGAAAGTTTCAAGTTATTTTCAAATAAAATGAACCAGAAACACAGGAGACAAATTTTTAAAAGAACTCTAAGAAGGGCTTTTGTTCTTGATTTAAGGATTTTAAGGCATCTATCAAGTTTGGGGAGCAACACTGTACCCTTTCAAGGTGGGGTTTATACATCCAGTTCTTTTGAAGGGTAGTGTGATTCTCATTACCTCTACCAAGTTGTTATTGCAGTTAAGTAATTACTCATGGGAATTTCAATTTAAGCCAAAAGTTTATTAACAAAGCACTGTCTTCTAGAAACTGTTGATTATTGAAAGAGGAACAAAGAAGAACTCAACATGGTTCCTGTTTTCAAGGAGTTTATAATCTCTTAGGAGGTTATCATGAAGTAGGAGGCCACTCCCTGTACGTTTATACACACACACATTAGTCACATTGTACTTTAAAATCTACTGCCTTGCAAGATTAGTAGGAATGACCTTATCAAGGTCAGGGTGACCCATGTACGGCTCATCTGACATTTTGTTTTAGCTAGGGTTTGGATTTTTTAAACCCCAATAACTTATGTCAAGGATGTTAATAAAATGAGATGTTCAACAAATTGTGATAAAATGGAAAAAAAGAAACAGAACTTTTTTTCTTAATTCTACATCTAATAATAATAGTTTAAGTAAAAACTAAGCAAGCATTGAACATTGTAGAAACTACACACACATATGTAGACACGCATGTACATACAAACACACTCACTGACTCTCAGGATGAACATCTCGTCAATTCCAAGGTTCAATTATCATTCTAACCTTGTGATCTGTTATATTCCTGGCATTTAATTAAGATTCGTTTTTAAAATAAGTTAAATCAGGAGTTGGCATGCTTTTTTGTAAAAGACCGGGTAGTAAATATTTCAGGCATCGTGTGCCATAGGATCTCTGTCACAACTATTCAACTCTGCTGTTTGGCATGAAAGTAGTGATCGACAATAGGAAAATGAAGACCGTCACTGTGTTCCACTAAAACTTCATAGATACTGAAATACAGATTTCATATATTCATATATTTCATATTAGTCTTCTCGTGACTTTTTCAGCCATTTAAAAATGTGAAAACCATTTTTAACTTGTAGGTCATACAATAACAAATGGTCGGTCATTTTGTGCCCTGGATCATAGTTTACCAACCCATGAGTTAAGCAATCAGTTATAGTTTTTTTTCCCACGTTTCATTTTAATGTTTTAAGACAAATTAATTTTCATAACTAAAGCCCTCAGATGTTTTTCTATTTATAAAAGAAGATGCTTTTTTTCCTAGCTTTCTGTAACTTCCCTTTTCTATCTTGAAGCTTCAATATTTTTTTGCACCAAAATAACCTCAAATAAGTTCATCTTCCCATGAACTTCTGAGGTACCCTAGAATATGAACTTTTTTTTCTTTATAAACATGTCATTGAATAATTATAGGCAATAAACATGAATAAGATAGCTTACCAAATTAATTTGCAGGGTTTTTTCCCAGTTTTTCTCATTATTCACTCCAGCATTGTTGACCAAAATGTCCAATCTTCCAAAGTGGTCTACAACTTTCCTAAAAGTATCTAAGAAAAAAATATTATAGATATTTTCCTATTTTGCATATACACATTTTAATCATAACCTATGCCATGACATGAATTTTTATTTATTTATTTATTTATCCTCATTGTGAAGAGTACACCTATAGGTTGTGCTTTAATTCCTTGTGGTTCTCCATGTGTGATGTGAGGACCAGCAGCATTGATCAGCATTACCTGGGAACTTGTTAGAAATGCAGAATTCTGCAGACAATGCAGACCTACTGAAGCAGAATCTAAACTTTTGTGTCTCCTGAAATGATTTTTATGCACATTAAAGTTCTATAACAGTAACTGAATGGAGTAAAAACTGAGCACCTTAAGCTAAGACCTCTTTCAAGTCAGTTTGACCAACTAGCATCTCTTTTTGCCTTAAGAAGTTATAGGAGCATGGTGGCTTTGTCTATGACAAACTTTCTTCATGATAAGCCACATTATGCTCATAAAGTGCTACATTAACATGAGTCTTGTGTATCCAGTTCCATTATGATCATTTCAGCAAGCTTTTATATTCTAGTAGGCAAAAGTCTATTTTTCGTCAGTTGATTTTATTCGATTATTGAAACTTTAATGTTTACTGATTCACCTTTTTTTCAATTTTTTACTATTACACTACTTCATATTAGTAGTCTATATAATATTGTATTCAGCTAGTGCAAAGTTTTCACGAGTTTTGAGGTTTGACTGCTACTCATTACATTGTCCAAGCACATGTCCAGTTCTTGCAAACCCTTTAAAGAGCAGCCCAAACTGGATTGTACCATTTTAGTATTGAGCAACTCATTATTCTACAAAGCAGCCTTTTACATAGTTTTATCTATGTATACTGTTTCCCTTGGCCTTTTACTATTTGTTCTAGTCGTAACATTTGAGGCAAAGGTAAAAATTGTGTTTTTTCTTCTATGTGACAGAAATGTATTCTCAGATCTCCAATCAACATGTGAATTCTTTAAAATAGGTAGATGAGGGAACCAGTAGTTAGCATAATGGCTATGTCGCTGGACTCCCACATAGTTGACCGCAGTTCGAGTCCCGGACCCAGTGGCTTAAACTCACACCAGGCGTGTGTGCATGCGTGCCCAAGATCCCAAGAGGAGAATGGAGGAGAAGGGATTGCGGTGTGACCATCCCCCCTGGGGGTGATATCTTGCTTTCTGTCTCTATGTCTCTCTCTGTCTGTCTAGCAAGTGCATGTGCCCTATAGCGAAAACCTCTCAAAAAAAAAAAAAATAGGTAGATGAATGCAAACTTTATTTGAATTGAAACAAGTTCATAGAATTATTAACAACAACCAGACATATTGGGGAAGACATAGATTAATCAGTTCCTAAATGGATAAATTAAGTTAATCACTAAAAACATGTGTATTCTTTACACTCATTGCACTGGAATGGAAAACAACAATAACAAAATAAAAACTGTTTACTTTTTCGGGGAATTTTTAAACTGTTTCTTAAGATATCAAATTGGTTCCAGAAAAGATCTTCTGGGTAAGTATTTTCTTTCCTTCTATCCTAAGTATGATCTGCTCTTCATAACTTCACAGAACAGCCCTGTGTTATGGGAAATGAGGTTGGGAAATGTGTATGTCTAACTGCTTCTTTAATATTCTTTCTTCATTCTGATCTCTACCATGCTCCTTATACTTAGAGCTCAGTGACATATCATACACTATCTTCCTTCTTCCTTCCAAAATTTTTTTATTCATTTTTCATTTCATGAGTGAGAGAGACAGCATCCTCAACAGGTCTTGACATCACCAGCTTCAGCCAGCCCTAGGGCATGGGAACACGAATGTGGGTGTACTCAGAGGTCTCAGATGCCAATCCAGGACCTTCCCATGTGGGTCAGCCACACAGAGTACTGCATTTTACCACGGTGTCATCATCCGGCCCTCACCTTCTTCTTTCCACATCCCACTGAACTCTGGGGTTCATGCAATTTACATCTAGCTCTTGCAGGCGTTTATACACGTTGGCACTCCATAATTCACCTAAACTCTCCATGCTTCCATTTGCTCACTTATAAAGTGAGTTACATGTAGATCATCTCCAAAAAACCTTTTTACCATTGCATTTTTTTATTTAAATTTCAATGTGTTTAAACAATCTAAAAAGTTGTAGGCAACATTAAATCCTGAACTGAAAGATTAGTGCCATGATTTCCTTAGATGTGAATAAATGCTGATGCCCAGACCTTGTGGATTTCTCATGACCAACATGCCTTCTCCTGGTCACTCATTATGTGTCTGAGCTTCCTTCTCCATAATCATTTATCCTTATGGAATGTGTTTACGGCTGAGGTACTAATTTTAAATACTGGCAAGCAAAACATTGAAGTGTCATGTGAGACTACATTAAGTTGAGACAGAAATGGCTTCTGGATTATCTATACAGTTTCTTAGCCCATCTGTATGGATGCTGGGATTTGACAGAATATTAGCCTTCATCTGAAATATCATGTGCAATCAACAAAATTATCCTCTGGCAAAATGTGTTCACTAGACTATCTTCATAGATCTGCTCTAATCTAATCTATGCTATAGGTCCTTACTCATATTTTCGGATTTCAATGACGTAATTTCCTTTAAAACAATTTCTCTTATCTGCAGGTACACTCCTTCCTAACCCACCCGTCCATTTTCACCCTGTTACATAATATTCCCTCATTTTAAGGGAAATTCGCCCCTCAGTATCACTTTAAGAACAGAAGCCCCAGAATTAATTTCATGAAACTTTTCTGACCCCTTTATTTAAAATGTGCCTAACAATTTACTTAATCTCTTTGAATCAAACTTTGTGAAATACAAACCTTTCATTTTTCCCCAGGGTGGGGAGGGAGTGATTTTTCATGCAAATTTATAGGGCCTCTATACCACCAAAACTATTTATTACCTATGCCAATATTGCCCCTGAATTTTCACAAGTAGGTTGGTGTATTTTAAGTGAGTAGACATAAAAAGGAAAGCATTGGGGAAAGGCTGATAGAGATTTTCCTTCTAGAATTCTAATGCTATGCAGTTATTATTTTAAGGCAACATCTCCCTGGGGAAAAACTAGACGGCTAAAGCCATCAAGTGCTTCTGTGACGGCGATCCTCAAATTCGTGCTCTACTATGTTGAAAAGAAAACCATTGCCACATTTGATTGTCACTGGACTCTGTGCCTTCCAGCTTGCTGGGTAAGGCTGCTTACCATTGTCCCTTAGCCCACTTAACGTGTCCAAGTTCATCTGCAATTTCAATCATTTAATAATTACTTAGCAGCACTGTCTTTGAATACACGAAAGCATTTTGATTACACTATGTGCTGCCAGATGACTAAAATAAAACGATTTCTCAAGCAGTCTTGCCTTCCTTTAGTTTTTATGGAGATTGGGTTGCCAGTAGGAAACATAACAGTCCAAGCTATCTCTTGGCGCGCAGAAGCAACTGCTCTCCAGAAGGCAGCCAGCTGGCTGCTCCCGTCCCTGGCTCTTTGGCCTGGCTGCCTTCAGGTTATTGCCTGTGCAGGGCGTGCTCTGCCAGGATAGATTCCCCCCGTCTCACCTCTCAGTTGTTCCTGATCAGCCACATCGCACTGGATGAACAGGGTCTTCTGAGGTTCAAACTGCTCATCCAGGGCAGCTTTACACTTTACACCTGCTTCCAGATTCCAATCCACCAGCGCTACCTGCAGACAAAAGGAGAGGAATCTAGGTCCCGAGAAGCTCACAACACAGGCAAACAATAAGTCGGTCACACAACACTCCCCTCTGGGACCTGAAATGCAACAATTAAAGTTCGAGTTCCCTCCCAGCCGCTGTCGAGGTCTGCCCAGGGCCTCAGCAGCGGCTGGGAGGGT